TTTCGGGTGTGTGTGTGTGTGCGGATGTGGATCTAGATGAGGATGAGATGTTGTTTTTGCTGCCCGAAAAAAAAGCGCAAGGAATCAGACATGCGGCGCCTTATTATTGCGCAAAAAAATGGTACGAAACTGGTAAATAATAAGTATTTCAATTGTAATACTTTGTTACGCGGCAATAGCTGTAAATAAACAATGTTTGCTTATATTTTAAATACAAATATTTATTATTTATTTATCTTAATGGTAATGCTACACTTAATGATGGGAAGAAACAGCTTTTACATATTTAACTAAAATGTATCACAAAATTTTTACTGTAGATATGTAATATGAACATTATGTTTAGTAGGCTACGGGCTATAAATGTGATAAGTAAGTAAGTATATAAGGCTTGGAATGCAATTAAAACTCAATAACGATGTGGATTTGGATGAGTTTGTCACTCCACCGGTTTTTCTCAAGACTGCAAGATATGGAAACGCGAATTCTTGAGCAGGGCCACCGCATAAACGTGGATAAGAGCAGCTTTGGCTGCGAGCAGTGAGTCAAAGTTCATCTGAGGCGGGTACTTTGATGAAAGGACATGGGGTATGCGTGTTGCTGCTGTTGTTGTTGTTGTTGTTATTGTTGTTGCCCAGTTCTCACAATACACCCACACACACACACACAGGCACACATGTTAATTACTGTTATCATTATGAATCGCATACAAGACTAATTAGTGTGTTACACTTTCATTTATTGTTCAGGGGGCAGGCGAGCGAACGAGCGAACGAGCAGCGATGACGAAGCTGACAACAACTCTCTTGTATAACAACCATAATGCAAACATACACACGGGACACCACCCCCCCTCCCCCTGCCCCAAACACATACACACACACACACACACACGTTAAGTGTTTAACATAATGAACAAGCGTATTACGAGGGAATTAACATGACATTTAACAACGCCACCGAGACAAAACCCAACGAAAGCTTCAACAATTTGTAGCTGTCTGTGATTAAAAGTGCGACATTCCGGACTTTTGCTGAATAATCCCAAAACTCTGAGATGAGATTTTCAATTTTTTAAAGCAAAAATCGTTTCCGCATCCGCCCTTGGTGATCCTAATGGTTGCTGGCCAGCCAGCCCCGTCGCATTATCGTCCTTCCAGCCATTTCTATTGGATTTTATTGTTATGCTTATGTGGCACTTTTCATTCCAGCCCCCTGATTTTCCGCGCTTTTCCTCTTCGGGCCTCGTCACATTGTCATTGCATTCCGCCGTTCTGCGCAAACTTTCTGACCGCGACCAAAGGAAGAGCCAAAGAAAAGCACTGCAAACTGTTGGCCAACTAAGTTTAAGTAGCTGCAACATAGATTCTTAGGACTTCCGCCATGACCATGGGCCAAGCAAAAATTCCGGATGCCGCGCACAGTGGGGCAGAATAAATGTTTAAACCTTAAATTAAAAACCCGAACCTTGCAGAAACTTTAATTTATATTTAGACAAAGTTTCTTTAACTTTATACATACGCTTTAAACAGAAAAAAATAAATTATTTCCTGAACCAAGTGCAGCATTTTTATATTGCTGTTGTTTTAAATAAGCTGAAACTCTTAAATACTTAATTTAAGAGAAAAGTGCAGTTGACGATATCGTTGGAACATTATAATATTTAAGAACATAAACAAGATAATCGAATCAGTTTATTTGTGTACGACTTAATTTCACAATTGCACAGCAACAAGATTAAATTAAATTAATTGGGCAAACCCAAATAATAAAATCGGTTTAATTTAATTTTAGTATTATATGTTTTTGAATGATTTACAAAGTAAATCATTAATAGACTTAAACCAAACAAAAAATTTTAAATGTGCCCCATATGATAATCCCGTTCTGGACATTCAATTATTTATTACGAATTAAACAAATACGGAAACATTTTTCATTAATTGCAGGACGAGACGAGTAAAAGGACGAGTAAAAGGACGAGGGGAGCGAACAGCTGGACGGGAGCAATCAAAAATGCAAAATGCAAACATTGTTCGGCATTCGCAGTTAATAAATGGCGTCAAAAGGACATGTCCGCAAATATGCATGTGTGTTGTGAGTTGCATTGTTTTTTGATTTTATTTCAGATTTAACGAATTTCCTTTCTTCTTCGTCCTCGACGTGGAAATATGCCAACAATGTTGTTGCCGTTACTGCCGCAACTCCTGCCACGCCCATACAACCCCGCAACAACGCCCCAAAGCTGCGTTAATGTTATGTGTGTGTCTATGTGTGACAGAGTTTGTCTGTCCATTATGCAAATTAATTTTCGGCAGCACCAGCGAACAACGAACAACGAACACCTTCACAAACAGCAACCTGCAACATCATCGCAATCCAACATTCACAGACGAAAAGCTGCGATAATAGTGTTTAGTCAACGACAACAACAAATAACAATAACAACAACAATAATAAATCCAAAACAACAAAACCAATAACAACAACTGAAACAACAACACCAACGAAATTAGAAGGACCAACAACCATGGACCTCCCACAAGAATGACGACAATGTGATAACCAACATTAAAAAAAAAAACGCAGTCAGCAACTTTGTGACTATTTCAACAACAAATTTTACCCATCCATCCCATAGCCGCTCACCTTTCGCCCCGATCCCCCGACGATCAGGGTCCTGATGTGAGGTCTATAGTCTGTAGTCTACGGTCCATATCCATTCCCATTTCGATGCCATTCCCATTCCTGGGCCAGCTGCATCTGACCAGAAAGCTGCGTTATTTTGGGTTCCGAATGGAAGGGGATGATGGGCTGATGTGATGATGGTATATAGATTAAGGAGGTATCAGGTGGCAGTGCTGGTATTTGATGTAAAGCTGGTCGAAATAGGGACGGGTAGGCATAGCCCCAACAGCAAAACACGCTTTAGATTGGGAAATCTATCTAAAAGTCTATATAATATAAAATACATTCATATTTTTTGTTTTTGCTTAGAAAACACTTTTAGATCAAGTCTACCCATCCAAAATCTTAATGAAAGTATTTGCTTACAGGCAAAAAAGATCAATATTTTGTGTGGAACATTACTAATTTTCTATTTATTATCTTTATAGGAAATCAGCAGAAATGAAAAATTTAATATGCATTTTCAAAACGTTCGCGATCGAGATTGATTTGGTTTGGTTTTATTTTTAGGTTTCCTTTTTCCCTTCAATGCTGAGGCTCAAAAGCCTTACGCATGTCAAGTGCTGCCTACGTTTGCACTGTGTACAATAATTAAAATTGTAATTGACACTTTAAATATGCAACACGCAGTATTTTAGAATTTAAAAGTTTAAAATAAAAAGATTCAACTTGACTTCGAGCTGGCTAAACTTATTAAATTAAATTATTTTTTTGCTATATTTTTTTATACCTTCTTGAGTAGCGAAAATTGAGGTTATTCTGATACCACTTTAGTTTTCTATTAAAGATATAAAAGAATTATGTTAATAGGGGATTCAAAAAGAAACCTGATTGATGGATTTGGCGGTGACTTTGGCAACCCTGGCCAGTTGGTGTGTCCGCAATATACTCGTACATGAATAAACTTTACATACTTTGCAAGCATTCATGCGTGGCTATGTGTGTGTTGGTGCAGCCCCAACACCCTTAACACCGCGTGGTTAAGGGTGTGGATGGGGGGTGTGGCTGGGTGTGTGTGTGTGTGGTCGCCATCAAAATTGACAAAAATGCAAATTTATTTACAACTGCAGCCAGCGTCAGGGTCGAGTTGACGATGGCGATGGCGATGCAACGTGAATGAATGCCAATGGCAGCTGAAGAGTTAACGGTGGAGAAGGCGAGTGGGAGGTGGTGCATGAAACAACTCGGCAAAATCAACATGCAACACACACGGATACTGCCGCGAACACAGATACACCCGCACACCCGAACACCCACACACCTACACAAAAATACAGGAAAACACAGAGCACATTGCACTGACAGTCGAGCTGTCAAATGTCGCAAGTGTATTTGAAAAACGCGGCTACAAAATGCGCAAAACATTTCGCCTGGAAACACTTGCGTTGGTGCTCTTCGTATAGTCTTGGTTGTTTCTGACTGTTTTTGGCGGGGTTTCCCGGGGTTTTCCGCGCGGTTTTCGGGGGGTGGGCCGCAAAAGGTGACACAGGTGAGTGGTCCACTTCGGACAAAGTGGAAATAAAATGGGCGAATGCTACTGATATTCGTTTTTTAGACCTGGTCTTTCCGGTCTTTACGCAACTTTAATTCATAGATTTGCATTCAAATATGCAAGATGTTTTATTACTGGACCTTAATTTGTTGGCCAGATCTAGCAATCTAAATTTTTATTGATAGAGGAGCAATCAACACTATTTTCGTAGCAAACAATAATAATACCCAAGCATTTGATAATTATCTATTACAAATTATACATATTTTGTCAAAGGTTTAAATTTTTTTGAACCATTTAATGGTGTCTTAGATTTTTATATAAAAAAAAAAAATAATATATCATTTAATTTATAATTTGGACAATTCAAAATTTCAAAATAAAATTAAAATTACCATTATTAGTTAATAACTTAATACAAAACAGTTAAATTACTTTAAAAAATAATCTCTTGCTAAGGTCGGCTAAAATGCTTAAAGTAGCAAAAAATGAAAAAAATCTGGGAATATTTATTTAAAAACAAAAAAATTCAGTTAGATTAAAAGAACCAGAGATAAAGAACCATATATGGAGGTTTTCGTTGTATTTTGACCACAACTAAAAAGCACATGTTCATGGTTTCAAAGCGAATAATTGGGGAGTGACAATGCTTGAGCAACATCATTGTGTAAACTTTGAAATTGCTCCGATGCAGTTGTCCCCGGGCAATTAGGGCAGATGGCTCTCGATAAGGACTCGAGTGCAAAGCGTAGCAAACGTAGCTCCATTTTCCGGTAAAAGCTCCCTTCATCCGCCAGTTGATTCCGGTGATTGCGTCGACATGTTGGCCAGCTTGAATCGGAGCACGGCGGACCTCTATGGCCTGGTGGTGCAGTTTCTCTTGAAGGGAACACCCACCTTGGTGTTCTACAATCCAGAGGGACTCGACTGCAGCTGGAACCTCCTGTGGCAGCGGAACTTGACCACCCATCCGCAGATCGTTTGGCAGCGCAGCCATGAAAATTCGAGCTTGAACTTTCGGTTCAATGGCGAGATCATGATGCTGGCCTGCTTGCCAGAGGGCTCCAGTGGTGCAGCTCATCTCGAAAACTTGGCCGACAGCCTAAGCCATCTGCGATCTGTGCGTTTGCTCATTGAAGTGGTGGGCTTTAGTCAGGATATTCTGGCCAGCCAATTGCTAACGATTTGCCTAGGCGCAAGCCTGCTGTATGTGGAACTATATTTCCAGAACTCTAACCACTCCCCAATCCTCTACAGCTACCAGGCATTTCCCAAATTTAAGCTGGTGAAGAGGGCGATCTCCGGCGCCAAAGAAATCGAGCTCTTTGCCAATAAGCTATCGAACCTGCATGGACATCGCCTGCGGGTCATGCCCGATCTGTCGCCGCCGAACACCTTCGACTACCAAGATGCCAGCGGGGAGCAGCAGGTTGCCGGCTATCTGTGGGACTTCATGGCCACCTTTGCCAGCCGCAAAAACGCCAGCCTGGAGGTAATCCGACCCCAGTGGCAAGCTGGAGGGGCCCCCGAAAGTGCCTACATGCAGGAGTACGCCGCCAATGGCACCATAGATGTCGGTCTGACCACAGCGGGCATAACCAAACGGAATTTCGGGGCCATCCATCAGTACACCTATCCCATTCTGATCACCAGTTGGTGCACCATGTTGCCGGTGGAGAGACACCTGCAAGCCGTTGATCTCTTCGACCGGATCTTATGTCCCGACTTGGCGGTGATTTTGATAGTCGCCATTTTGGTCATCTGGCTGCTTCTGCGACACCTGAGGTGCCTGAAAAGCTTGAGACTGGCGAGGATAGTGCCGCGACTGCTGGCCCTGCTACTGATAGCCACCTGCAGTGCCCAACTGCTGTCGCTGCTGATCTCACCGCCTTACCAGGAAAGGATAACCAGTTTCAATGACATGCTCGACGGCGAACTGAGAATTTTGGCCGTTCGCGGTGAATTCTACGACTTTGATGGCTCCTTTCGGGCGCGATACGCTGGAATATTTCACTTAATTGACGATCCAGAAGAATTCTACGACCTACGCAATCACTTCAACACAACTTGGGCCTATACCGTGCCATTTACCAAGTGGCTGGTGATAAATAACCAACAACAACACTTCGCTAAGCCACTTTTCCGTTTAGCAAAAGATCTCTGTTTCCTTGAATTCATACCAACCAGCATTGTTGTCGCACCGTACTCGATTTACTGGGAGTCCCTCAAGGACTTCACGTTGGCAGTCGAGCAGTCAGGGCTGGTGACACACTGGATCAGAAAGAGCTTCAACGACTTGGTTAAGGCCGGAAAGATGAGCATCAAGGACTACAGCCAGCTGGTCGAACTGAAGCCCCTGGACATCGGGGACCTGGAATTGGCCTGGCGAATCTGTGGAGCAGCCGTACTCGCGGCCATTGCCATTTTCCTGATGGAGTTCATATTTTTCTACGGCAACGTTTTTCTTAATAATTTGTAGAAAATTCTTAACTATTATATGCGAATCGTAGAATAGAATATAGTTATTAATGCATAAGCTAAAAACATTTAAAAATCACTTACACTAAATCTAATTAATTATCAAATCGTTCGGTTAATTACTTATTGTGAATTCTAAAACTTTCGGACTGTGAAATTTCCAAAAATATCTTACAGATAATTTGATTTCTCAAAAATATTTTCATTGAGGCTGGGTAACTAGTCACTGGCGAAATTGGCTCAGGCAGATAAAATACAGAATTGGGAAAAAAGCAAACAAAAACTGACGCCAAGGAGATAAAGTCAAATTAGCTCTGTTTGTTTTCCTTCAAACGCAACGAAAAGCGATTAAGTGAAAAGTTCTGTGCACTTTTCCCGCTTCGGAAAAGCGGCGAAGGATGTTTTCTGGTCGATTTGATGGCAGCATTCAAATTGTGTTTGCACTCGTCTGGAACAGAGGGAAACTTTTATTCTGTTTTACTTCACTTTTCCTAGTGCTCGCCCAAGGTCGTCGGGGGAAAGGGGAAAGTGCGAATTGGAAAATGGCCCCTGGAGAAGAATGGCTTGAAGCCCTTTTAAAGCCGCCGTTTACGCTGAGTGTTTTTGCTAAAGCCACAGACAGATACAAATACACACACACACACACACACTCGCACACAGATATATGTATATTTTCCGGCAATATTCAATGTCGTCCGCCGTCCAAGTTCTCGTCCTTGTCGTCCTTGTCGCCCTTCTCCACGTTGCCGGAAGTGGCGATGATAACACGCCAAAAAGGAAATGAACACTTTTTGGGCAATGGGGCGCAATGGAGTTACTATAAACAACAACAACAAGAGCAACGCACAACAACAACAAGGGGGGAATAGCTATATTTAACTAAGCTAACGACCACGAATTCTGATCACGCTTACAAAAAAGAGATAATATATTCGATACATTTTAAAAAATCTTTTGAACTTTAAAACAATGTATTCAAGTATTTCATACTAAATTAAAATAATTTTCGTTCGATATTACGGTTTTTTTTTTGTTATTCCAATTTTATTTTAATATCTGAAATAGTTGATATAAATTGAAGTCAAATTAAAAATACCCTTGTTAAATTAAATATTATCTACATTAATTAAACTATTTTAATACTAAATTAAGAACATTAGAATAATTAAGTAGCCTAAAAGACTTTAAGCTAACCTAAGCTTTTAATTTGTATATATTTATACACACATTAACAAAAGCACCTTGAAATGAAATGGTTTTTAAAAAACAAAGTTATTTGAAGTTGAAGTTGATTAACTAAATGTAGCCTACATGTTTAATCTGTCTTTATATGTGGCCAACAGACTTGGTTGCAAAACTGATGGCGTTGGTGGTGAGCCGCTTTTGGTGCAGGGTATTCGGTGGCAGTGACTTCCCCTGCCGATGTCTGTTATCTTCGCCTGTGACCTCTGCCCCCAAACCCAAACCCGAACCCACTGCCTCCTCCGTGGCCATTCGTCTGCTGCCTTTGGGCGTAAATTTTATTGAGGTCGAATTGAAAATGTGGCCAAGTGGGTATGCAGCGTCAAAGGGGATGAAAGGTGAAGGGGTCGTGGCTAAAGGGTGGGGGGGGGGCGCCCAAAAAGGGGGCGGGGCAAGGCAGAGGTTGTTGTCTGAGAGGAGCTACAACAACAACAGACGACAAATGTAACGAAAAATTAAAAGCATTTTATGCGCAAATGGCGCGCGGCATTTAAAACGAATGCGAAATATGGTAACACGCGATTTGGCAGCCCCAGCTGACAGTCCTACAACAACCCCCCTTTTTCCCTCAATGGGGCCTTCGCACCCCCCCTATTACCCCATCACCCATCACCCCGCGTGGCCATCACAGTGCGTATAATTTATGTGGCATTTAATGAAAACGGAATTGAAATTTAGTGCGAATTTATTAAATGATTTTAAATTGATGTTGGCCTCTGGACCGCATGGCCGCATGGCAGTGCCCCCAGCCGAAAAACATTTAAATTATTGGCCGGGTGAGGATGAGTTTTGATGATGACAACGATGGAGCGACACGAGGGTGCAAATTCGCGGGGTGGAGCAGCGATTGTTTCTATATATTTTTTTGGGAGGGGGGAATTTACGATTGAAAATCTCTTTCAGCACTTGGAAGGCTAGGAGAGTTGTGATCAAATGAAAATATTATTGAAAGAAAGACTTACAGTAAGAGGCTTTATTTTACGGGAAAATATTAATATTACTATTTCATTTACTAAGATTGGGATTACTTATTATATCCATTATTTATGAAAATAACGCTATAGTTGAGTTTTCAGTTTATAAACAAATTAAATTAATGCGAGGAAAGCCCGCTGAAAGTTGAGGCTGTGCAATTTCGAACAGCTAATTAAACGTTATTCATCGGCCTCGATAACAATAAACGGAAAAGGGAAATGACACTAAAAGGGCCACATTCGAATCGATGTTCAGAGGCTAACCAACAACAAATTGCCAACTGGACTAAAAGTGAAAATGGCGTATTAATTAAATTTAAGGCGAAAGGAGACCGCGCATCATTAGAGTTGCACAATTAATGCGAATATTGTTGTTGCACAGGCAACGCACTCTATCCGTTCCGTGCAAAACCGCAGAAGGTAAACTTTTTGGCCCAATGGCCAATGCTGCTGTTTGCGGCTCGTGTGTGAAATTAAATTGTATAATTTTTCAAAATTAACAAACAAACAGAGTGAAAAATTGGAAAACCTCTCTGCAAACAAACAGTTAACATATGTACAGCTGCGGCGGTGTCCTGTGTGTGTCCTTCCTGCATTAATCACGCGCATTGCACCCGAATCGGAATAATTTCAGGTGTTATTAATTTAAAAAAAATAAAATACCCTTAATTATTCACATAAATAATGTAAGCACTGAACACGGGGAAAATCGGGAGCGAATCGGACGGAAAATACTCTTCATTATTCATATTTGTCGTGCATTCCATCAAACTCGAATTGCAATGGTTCGATGGCGCTCAAAAATGAGGCACATGACCCAGCAAGATCGGTTTCAATTGGTTGATTTTATTTATTTTTTTTTTTTCATTTTCCGGGAATTTCAATACATTTTACATTCCAAATAATTCTCAGTAACATTGTACTACTCTTTTGAGGGTCTGCGCCTTTCTTTTGAAAGCAAATTCATCAAAGTTAATATTATAATTTTGTACGAAAAGTAAGATGTAGTGGTATAAATGTAAATGTAGCATACTTAGTTGCGCTCTTATCTCATTAGTTATATAAAATGATGGGAACACTAATTTTATCAATTTTTCTCACCCTGTATTTAAATATATAAGATATCTTTTTTTTATCTTTCAAAAAAATAATTGTTTATTAATTACAATACCTGTAAGCTTGGAGTGCCACAAATTATTGTCTGTAAAGTGTGCATGAATAATAAACTCCTACTGAATACTGCTCACTTACATTTTCAGGTCCGGTTGGCTCAATCGGAATCATTAAATCCGTCTGCGGCCTGTTGACAGCACTTACGCCTCATCATCATCGCCATCATTCGCATCATAACCAACTCGATCGCATTGTGGCGGCATTTTTGGGCCCTGTGAAAATGGGAGAGTGGAAAGTGAAAATCGGCCAACAAGTTATCCAATCCGGACGAGAATAAAAACCGCAACACCAACAATGGCAACAATAGGACAACTGACCAACATTGGGTTAGCCAGGAGGCCCAGGAGGCCCAGGATAACCTGCTTCGTCCATCGGCCCACTGGACTTCGCTTTTAATTCCGAAAATACCGCCAAACGGTGCCGCAAAATGTGAGTTATTAAAATTGTGGACTATTTGTTTGCATTTTGCAATTCCGTTTGCCGTGTACCCCCCTATGAAATATCATTTTTTTTCTTCGCCCATTTTTTATTGTTATTTGCAGTTGCCTTTTGTGTTTTGTTTTTGCTTGCTTTTTTTTTACATTTTGCATTGCAGGTTGAAGGGGTGGATGAGCACAAGTCGTCCCAGTTTTTGATCCTTTTTTTTTGTGTCGGCATGCGGTGAGCCTAAATATGTTTTATGTTCTTGTTCGAATGCCAAACGCTGCAGTGGAAATAAAGTCGAACGGTGACTACGTGACCCCAGAACACAGATCCCATCACAAGAATGGGACACCAACAAAATTATCCACTCGAATAATGTTCTGACACAAAATTCAGGATTGAACTATTCAAATTATATCCCAAAACTTCATAAGAAACGATTGAAAAATGATAAGGAAAATCGTCATAATATATTTATACCCTTGCAGAGGGTATTATAATTTCAGTCAGAAGTTTGCAACGCAGTGAAGGAGACATCTCCGACCCTATAAAGTATATATATTCTTGATCAGCATCACTAGGCGAGTCGATCTAGCCATGTCCGTCTGTCCGTCTGTCCGTCTGTCCGTCTGTCCGTCTGTCCGTCTGTCCGTCCGTTTATATGCAAACTAGTCTCTCAGTTTTAAAGCTATCTGCATGAAACTTTCCCAAAAGTTGTCTTTCTATTGCAGGTAGTATATAAGTCGGAACGAGCCGGATCGGACGATTATAGCATATAGCTCCCATAGGAACAATCGGAAAAATAAATGAAAAAAAATTATAACTTTGCTGTTTTTTAATTTTTTGTTTAGTTCTTCGACATTTAGTAATGGTTAAATATTTCCGATTTACGGTTTAAATTTCATCAAAATCGGACGACTATAGCATATAGCTCCCATAGGAACAATCGGAAAAATAAATGAAAAAAATTATAACTTTGCTGTTTTTTAATGTTTTCTTTAGTTCTTCGACATTTAGTAATGGTTAAATATTTCCGATTTACGTTTTAAATTTCATCAAAATCGGACGACTATAGCATATAGGTCCCATAGGAACAATCGGAGAAATAAATAAAAAAAAATTATAACTTTTCTGTTTTTTAATTTTTTGTTTAGTTCTTCGACATATGGCAATGTTTAATTATTTCAGA